ACTATATGGGAGGCCATGTCGATCTCCGATTTGTTGGACAGAAGTTGGAGAGAGACTTGTTACGGGTCCGGACTTGGTTAGAGACACCTCAGAGAAGGTGGGCTTGATACGGAAGCGTCTTCTCACGGCTCAGAGCCGGCAAAAGAGCTACGCTGACAGACGGCGACGACCTCTAGAGTTTGAGGTGGGAGATCATGTCTTCTTGAAGGTGATGCCTACGAGAGGAGTGGTCAGGTTCGGCAAGCGGGGAAAGCTGTCGCCAAGGTACATTGGGCCCTTCGAAGTACTCGAGAGGGTGGGTGCAGTTGCTTATCGGTTGGCGTTACCGCCAAATCTATCGGGTGTTCACGCGGTATTCCATGTCTCTATGCTCCGGAAGTATATCCCAGATCCGACTCATGTGGTAGATTGGGGCGAGCTTGTTGTTGATGTGGATGGGACCTTTGAGGAGGGACCGGTGCGCATCATGGATAGCAGGGAGCAGGTTTTGCGGGGCAAGACTGTAAGGCTAGTAAAGGTGCTGTGGCAGCACCGAGGAGTGGAGGAGGCGACATGGGAGCGTGAGGACACCATCCGTACCAATTACCCATTTTTGTTCGAGGATGGAGGTACATGTTTAAAATTTTAAGTATGAGGTTACTTATTGCATATGCATGTGTCTAAGTGTGCATGTGTGTGAGAATTTCGGGGACGAAATTCTTCTAAGGGGGGGAGAATGTAAAATCCGGGTAGATTTAAACTTTTATGAATAAAGGGTAAAATGGTAAATTGTCACCATGATTCGGGTTGTAAATCTGAAATTTTTTGTAACTCGGATGACAAAACGGACCTCACCGTTGGATTCGTCTCGCGAAATCGAGTTACCACGTCAATTTTCGTCGAATTCTGAGATAGTCAAATTTTTCACGTTTTACGGAGCGATCGGGCTTCGGGTGACCCTGTACACGAATTTTTTTATAAAATTTTAAATTTTGGGCAATAAAATAAGATAAATTGAAATAAAAATATTTTAGATTTAAACCGGGGCGAGATTTAATTGTTCGGGACAAAAACGGACCCGGAATTAAAAATGGACATGTGGCCAATTGTGGGCCAAGTGTTCTAAAGTATTTTTCCCCCATTGTTCAGCATCCTCTTCAGCCGATAGAAAAGAGAGGGAAAGGAGAGGGAAAGCTTCAACTTCTCTCTATGATCTACATAATTCTAGTGCTCAAATCCGCTTGGACCAAGAACAAAGATCGTTCTCCTCGTCAAGGGCTACGTCTACGTACCAAAAGGAAGTGATTTCACCGAATAATCAAAGGAAGAATTTTTGGAGATCAAAGCTTTTGGGTTGGTTTTGGTGTTTTAGGGGTTTTCTACACTCCTAAGAGGTAGGGGTTATTCCTACTTTGGATTATTCTTACCTTAGGTGTTGCTAGACTAAGGGTGAAAATTATGTATATGCATATGTATTGTTATACATATATGTCTATGGGTATGAAAGTGAAAAAAAATTAGCATAGGAATAGCTTAGGCTAGCTTCTAGCTTGAATTTGGTATATGGAGGTTCCATGTGATTATTTTGTAACTTGGTGAAAACTTAAGGCATGCTATGTGTTTTATAAACTATGCCTTGGAATGTGTTATGTGAATACATGACTTGAATGACTATAAGATGTTTGATAAAATGCCCTAGTGAAATTGAGTGTGTTACTTGCATGATGCTATGTTATAACATGCTTGGGTGATTGTGAAATCATATGCTTAGGATATGGTTTTTGGATGAAGAGTGTTATTGACATATGCATGAAATGATATATTGAGCATAATGAGATATGGTAGTTATATACTTATGATACAATTGCATTGATGTATGAAAATGTTTATATGTTTGTCATAAGCATATTGAGCATTATTTTGTGTGCAATGGAACATCACATTGCATTTGCACGGAAGTGTCTCATTACATGAGTGAGTGCATGTTTGACGTCAATACCACACTTGGTGATTGACGGAAGGCTTGGGAGAGTTGGGTCGAGGACTTAGCTAAGCCGCTTGGTTGCATGATGAATTGGGTTGGGGTAGCAAGAAGAGGCATGACGACCTCTCGGGTGCAAGACCCGGTGATTGGGCTACGCACTCCCTTGGCTCGGCCGATAAAGTGTGTGGGTGTATTCGGAACCCTCGGTCGAAGTCCGTAAATTTCGTGTGGGTTGGAGGCCCTTGGTGTAAGTCCATGAACATCCACCCCTATACAAGACCCTAGAGTGATTAACGCCATTGTGTGTAACATAAATGGTGGTTTCGACTAAATTGACACTTGCATGTGTTGGGGATCCGGAGAGAGCTCGGAATAAAGTTGCATGGGTGAGTGTCACTTCATTCCATGGCATAGCATTGTTGCATTCCATCATAGGATGCATAAGTGTGAGAAATGCTTGGTTGTATGTTTGTGTGATGATTACATGAGCATGTGCATCTAGGGGAAGAGTAACCTCTATAGGTTTATCTCTATTGGGCGTTGTGCTTACCCTATACGGGAAACAATTTCAGGTACGGGACACGTTCCGGTGGATGGCTCTCATTCGGGGGCTCTTGGTTGAAGAAAAGCCGGGTTGTGGCTTTTGAATTTAGTTTTTGTAAAACTTTTGGTTAATTTCCATTTTGGCATGTAAAAGTATGGAAATAGTTGTATTAGAACTTGTATTGACTATATTTGGTATCAAATAGATGTTGTATAAGTTTTGGATAACCTTGGATTGGTTTGGATTGGTTTTGGAATGGATTGATTTGGGGTTGAAATCATACACAGTTTACACAGAAATTTCAGACACTGCTTAGTGTTTGAGCCATAACTTTTTATTGTGACGTCCAAATGATCTGAAATTTTTACAGTAGGTAGTAGACACCTAGGGCTATAAAAGTGTTTTTATGAAATTTTCTCAATTCCACTTCTAAACAGGTCAAAACCGCACTGGAAGTTGCAGCAGAACAGAAACTGCATTTTCTGTTCGAACGTAAAAGTTTAAATCTACCCGGATTTTACATTATGTAAATTATATTTTATTTCTTTTTTGATCATCTTTCTATTAAAATTGTTAAATATTTGAAACAAAATTCAATTACTTGGAGAGGGAGTAAAAGGTTAAAGCATGAAAGAAAATTAGGAGTTTGTAGCATTAGAAGATATTAATAGGTTCTAGAATTCAAATAGGGTTTTAGGGCTTACGAACTTTTGGGGTTAGGGGTTATTGTTTTTTTTACTTCTTTTACTCCACTTATTTATCATTCTTCTCCTATTTTTTCCCCTATTGGTATTTGTTATCATTTATTCTTTCATTTTTATGTGCGTAACTAATCTAATATGTGTTTTCTTTTCAGTTGTTGAGGAATGGATGCTTGCTTAAAGGGTGGTCCATTGCTGAGCAGGGTGGATGGGGTGCCTCAAAGTTTTCCCAACGTAGCTGAGTTGTTTTTGAATTCTCATCGGCAGTTAGAGGGAGTGGATGAGTATCTTAATGACCAGTTAAGGGATGAAGTTTTGAGTTCTAGAGTTGTTTTAAGTAATATGATGGATAGGTTGGTATGGCAGAAAACTTCTTCCGGATTGTTTTCTGTTAAGGCAGCCTGGCAGTTGATTAGGCAGCAGGGAGTGAGGAATGAAACTGCTTCTATAATTTGGTGGTTGAGCACAGCACCTAGTGCTCAGTTGGTGGGTTGGAAAATACTGATGGAGGCTCTTTCTTTGGATGCAAGAGTTCAGAAGTTGGGCTATCCAGTGCTCAGTAGGTGTTATATGTATTTTAATAATGTGGAGAATGATGAGCATATTATTGTGGGTTGTGAATATGCTAGTGCTATTTGGAATAAGTTGGCTGACATGGTTGGTTTTCTGCTGATCAATAATGAACATCCAATGGTAAGGTTGAGAAGGCTATGCAGAATCTTTAGAAAGAGGTATGTGGGGAATGGTTTGGTTAGGAGTATTCCCTTGCTTGTTTAGTGGGTAATGAAGGCTCTTCCTTTGGATTCCAGAATTAGGATGTGTGGAATTCCTTTGGCAAGTAGGTGTGTTTTGTGTTATAAGGAGGGCGAGGATGCTGTTCATTTATTTGTGGAATGTGAATATGTTAAGGCCATTTGGGAAAGGTTTGCTGCCATGTGTGGTTTTCAATTGATTGGTGGTGAATTAACTCTGGTCAGATTGCAAAGACTTTGCAGGGTTTTAAAAGAAAGCCTGTTTGTTGTAGTTTGATAAGTAAGTCTTGCCTTGTTGATTTTTTGGCAAGTATGGAAGGAGAGATGTAGGAGGGCTGGTAAAGGCAAACTTAATTCTTAATTCTAATTTTCTGAAGGTATGTAGTCTTTTACGGTTTCCGGTGAGGAATATCAGGCCCAAGGTTTTGGATAATAATAGTGGCAGAATGGTGTTGCAGTTGTTAGGCATTGTTATGCCATACGTGGTGTCCACTAGGGCCATGTGGGTGTGTTGGACTTATCCAGTTGCTGGGGTTTTAAAACTCACTGTTGATGGAGTTGCTAAGTGAATCCTCGTGTTGCTGGAGGAGGGGCAATACCGAGGAATGAGTGGGGAGGTATGGCCTTAGCAGCATCTTTTTATTATGGTATAAGTTTAATATGGGTGCTGAGTTCAGGGCATTGCTTGATGGGCTTGTTCTGGTTGATGGGTATGGATTGCAAGTGTATAAAGTATTGATTGAATCTGACTCGTTGGTCTTGGTGAATTCTGTTAAGGGTATAGTGGACTGTGCTTGGCCTTTGTTGGGCATTTTAGCTCAAATAAAGCTTCTTTTGAGCAGAATGCAATATTCGTTGGAACATGTGTACAGAGGCAAATTTTGTTGCTGATGCCTTGGCAAATAAAGCAGTTCAAGATGGATACTCTTCTGAGTTTTCTGGGTCTGATCAGTTGTTTGCTGCTGTGAGCCTAAGATTGGTTCAGGATCAGAGATGCTTGCCTGTTTTACGAACCAAGAATATACTGGTTTTTGATGATAATGGTTGAAAAAGTAGCAAGGGTTGCTGGGCAGAGGAGGCAGACTTGGAGGTTTCTGTTACAAGCTGTGACGAATTGGCAGGTGAAATTGCTGTTGGTTGCTGGGATTTTTTCCAAGCATTAGGAGAAGCATATTGCCTCTTTTGTGGATCAGATTTTTGGGAGAGGAGGTCTGGTGCCTTGGCAGGAATACTACTATGTAATGACGAGATCTTGATAGCATTTTCATTATGTAGGTTGTGCAAAACACAAGGAGCAAAAGTCAGATGGGTGAGACCATTAATGACGATTTATACAAGATTTTTCAACAGGACTACCGACCTGTAGGTTCTCCCTGTTTCGAAGGTGCTTGTGAGAATTTCATCATTAGCAGTGCTGGGTATGCAATTGCTAGCCTGTTGCTTTAACCAAAGGATATCCGTAATCGGGATATTTTGTTCACAAGTAGCCTCTATTAGATACGACCCGGTGCTTGCAGGTCTGACTGTTGCCTTCTCTCCAACAGCTGCTTCAATCAGTATGAAGTCTGACTACAAGACTTCTTAGCCGGCAACTGACTACTTATTGAAAGACCGAACAGGAATTGAAAAAAAAGTCGTACTACAATAGCTGTAAACATTCACTCCCTGTTCTAACTTTGATCATCTTGCTAGAATAATTTAAGAGTTGGGCGTCAACCAACTCTACACACATTTCATCGTGGAGGTATTTAATTGAAAAGAACTGTTGATTGTACACTTGTGCTTGTACATTGCATAGAAATATAGTAACATCTTGCATATTTGATTCTGCTAAGTAATGTTGAAAAGTTGAACACACACAAATGTAAGTCAATTCAGCCTAGGTAGGCTTGTCCATATTGATTCTGGTTTCATTTGTAAAATTCATGAGATGACTCAATCACTTGACATGTCTGTCTTGATGAAAACTGAAACTTGGTGCCTGTTTGTGCGTGTGACAACTGGATGGGTAAAGCCTATGGTGTTCTTCTACTTGTGGTAATGACCAATATGGAGCCTTACTTTTTGGTTAGCTATTAAAGGCAGGTCGAGTACAACAGATAGATCAAAATCATAAGTACCTTCCCTGGATGAGCATTGCATATTATTTAATGATAGACCTGAAAATCATGATGATTTATTCTTCAAATGCCCATACTCCAATAGAATGTGGAGATCCATCGTGAACAAACTAATTCTGGAACTTAACATTTCTGTGTTTATTCCAAATGTGGAAGGAAAGAAATCCTCAAATATACTACAACTTTTACTCCAAGGATTTTCGGTACTGTATTGGAATGAAATGAGGGAATTGATAAGGTGCAGATAATGGGCCATAGAAGTCCAAAACTCTTCTGCAAAAGAGGTAGCTGATTTTACGTTGGAATCTTCTTAATGAATGGAGTGCTGGAACTTATCATGCTATGATGCAATATCGCTCTAACCCAGCCCTTTACAACCCCCCCCCCCCCCCCCCTCCTCCTCCTCCTCCTCCGTCCAATCCAACCCATAAAGAAATTAATAACATCAGAACACAAAAAGAAGGTGGAGGTGTTAGCCACACAAAAAGTGCAGCACCAACCTTCGTCGATGTCTTTTAATATCACTTTTAAAGGATGCAATTTTTTTTTTGGATAAAGAAATTAAAATTTACTGATTGTAATTGAAGCTCTATTACAAGAGAGAGAAAATAAAATGAAAATCGATAAATAATTGGCAAAGAATATTATGCATTCGATTACTCCAAAGCATAGGTGGAATAAATAGATTCACGTATAAAAAAAATAGAAAAAATAAAATAAAAGAAGCACAACAGAACACATTGACCAACCGAGTACACAAACAAAAGAATCGAAGAGAGCCAATCAGAAGATGAGCTAATGATATTCCGTTTGCCAGTGGGACCTGCCACAGCGCACGATAACGAACGACATTCCAATACTTGTGCTAGGCAAAGGCAACCTCACGCGAGCGAAACCACGGAATTTAGTTTAGTGTGTCTCAATAACTCATTTGGCCAGAAACAAGGACAAATAACACAAAATAATTTTTTAATTTAAAAAAAAAAAAAAAATTGACACCGAGGGCTGGGCTGGGCTTGACTGGCAGACTAAATAAAGAAACAAAGATGGAAGCGTCTTGTGTTTTCTGCGGCGGAGGCGGGGTCTCCACCTTGGCTTTGAAGTCCCCAAGCTGCCTCAATTTCCGTTTTTTGCGCCACAATGAGTTGAATTTATCTTTGAGATCCATTTCCGTGTTGAGCAGCGACAAGCGCTTCTTATATGCAGCTACTCTCTCATCTACATTCCGATTCCGACTACGAATCCGGAACAACTCAGATCACGTATCCAAGGCCGCCATTAGTAGTACTAGTAGTAGTACCAAGAGAAGAAGCCGCGGCCGCAACAACAGAGGAGGTGATGGTGCCAACAACGAGGACCGTAAGAAGAATCCTGGCCGGACGACTATTACCATTACTACTGAGTCATGGAAGCTGCTCAAGGATCTCGCCAATTCAGGTTCCTTCTCCTCGTTTTGCATTCTTCTTTCTAATTTTCAACTACCTCTGCTTCTTAAAAGGTGGTACCTTGGCCCGCATGGTGTCATTTGCAGCTCAGCATAGAGCAATTGCAAGGAAAGTTTCCCAACCAAAGACCGTTCACAGTGGTTTAGGAATGGACCTTGAGAAGGCCAGGGCTATTCAGAGCAGGATTGACGATTTCACCAAGTTCATGTCTGATCTACTTCTCATTGAAAGGGATGCTGAATTAGAATTCACTCAGGAGGAGTTAAATGCTGTTCCTACGCCGGATGAGAGTTCTGATTCGCCAAAACCAATTGAATTTTTGGTCAGCCATGGCCAGGCTGAGCAGGAACTCTGCGATACTATCTGCAATCTAAATGCAGTTAGGACTTCTACAGGTCACAAAACTAACTTTTACCATGAACATCTGTAACTCTAATCTTATGTATGTGGAGCATTCCAAATCGTTCTGGGTCTTGTCTCTTTCTGTAACCACTCCAGTGCATTTTGATATTGCTTATGTTATGAACGGGGTTTTGTGCACAGGATTAGGTGGAATGCATTTGGTATTGTTCAGGGTGGAGGGGAATCATAGATTACCGCCTACTACTCTTTCTCCCGGAGACATGGTTTGCGTGAGGACCTGTGATAGCAGGGGTGCTGGAGCAACTTCTTGCATGCAAGGTTTTGTTAACAACCTAGGGGAGGATGGCTGTAGCATCATTGTGGCTCTGGAGTCCTGTTATGGTGATCCCACCTTTTCTAAGCTCTTTGGCAAGAGTGTGCGCATTGATCGCATTCATGGCTTGGCTGATGCGCTAACATATGAGGTATTGAAAACTCATCATTTGCACTCTGTGTATGTGCATTGAGGCTGAAACATTTTTAAAACCCAAAGGCATTTGAGTTGTTCCAATTACCCCTGTAGCCAAAGCATAGAAACACTCTGGAAAATTATGTGGGATAAGCATTTGTGTGCCTTAGGTTAGCCACCTATTTTAGCAGTGGGGTGCAACAAGATCTACCATATTAATCCCAACAACTCTCTTCCCGTGTGCTTAGTTATATCACCATTTTCACCCTTCGCTGGCTTAAAACAATTACAAGGATGTATCAGAAACTTGTTAGCATTCCTGTTTCTTACCATTTTGACTGCTACCCCTGTGTCTTCAAGATGGCTAGGCTTGTTGCTCGCAAATTGTGCCTGAGTTAAGCATCTGCAGCATGAAACTTTGTTTTTATGGGCATGCACCCAGTTCTCAGATTGCTCTGTATTCTATTCCAGAGCCAAGACTCCAGCCCCTTCCTTTTCAGCCTTCAGCCAGAAACTAAAACAGTTGCTCCCATTGTTGGTTGTCAGGAGGATTTCAACTGTATACATGCTGGTCAATAACTTTGAGTCATTCTTAATGGGAGTATTTGGATATATTTTATCATTTCTTCTTTTAAATTCTCTCTCTATAACAAAATTATTATGTTTCTTATTCCCATAAGCTTTCAGGTACCTTCAGCAATTAACAGATGGGGTTTCTCTTGTTCTTTCTCGTACTTCTGCTCCTCAACCCCTCTATTTTATTTATGCATTTCTTTCTTCTTAACATGCTTTAAGAATCTATGTCGGAAATTTCTATTTGAAGTGTCATTCTTGAAGTGAGGATGGTAATGTCAAATTGTTAATTTATCAGTGTATATATATATATATATGTGCATTGGCAACGGGTTATTGTACCCCAGAGAAAGGAGCAGCATGCTTATGTGCCAGTGTTACTAAACATGCATGATACCCTTCTATTTAAAATGAAATTCTTCCACGGAGGGAGCATAAGTGGCTTGTTTTTTGCTTACCTAACTAGTTGGTGATCATGGAAATTACCACTAATGGCTCTCCTAAATGGATGGGATATGAAATGCACTTCATGTTTCTCTTTTTGTTGAAAGTCATTTCAAAAGCTAGGTAACCTATGTTCCGGTGATTTTTTTAACAATGAGGTATTCAGGCCTTCCTAAAGCACCTGCCTTATGAACTCTTAGCCATTTGTTCTATGTTCAAGTAACCCTGTTTTATAAGAAAAAAAAGATGCAGAGAGTTGAATAAAATAATTGTCTCCCTTTTTGTGAAGAGGAATTCTAAGTAATGTCCTCTTCCTTGAACCTCTTGTTTGCTTGATTTAGAACACTTCAAAAAAAACTTGAGAGCCTTGAATTCTTTAGCAGCGGCATCACAATATTTGTTCACAGATATGACTCAAGTAATGCATGGTCATGGCAAAGCGACAGGATCAGCAATTAATTGACAGCTGAAAGTGGGGTGGGTAGTGTTGCTAGGGAGTGAGGATTTATCTTTTCTGCTGTAATTTATACTTTAATTTACTAATGGACTTTGGCTCCTCACTGGATCTCCAGTAGACATAGTCCAAGTTGACGCACCTTGTGATTTTCAGTTAAATGGTTTTCGTTGATATCTTGTCGGTTCCATAGTGATCACTTGCACAAGATTTTTGAGTTCCTTGTATTGTGCTAGAATAAGAACATGCTAGCTAATCTGAAGACCTCTCTTGTGATAAGTAGTGTATGTATTTGCCACTAGAACTTAAAGGTGCAATGCTTTTGATGGATTGATTATGGAAGCAACTGGACTTTGTTTAAGCATTTTGGGGCCTTGCACTGCCCTGCCCAGTTTGCAAAGAAGTCAGCTGCCGAATTGCCTTCCCTGTACACGTGTTAAATGGAAATTTAATCTCCCCAAAATCACCTTAATTTGCCTCAGCAATTCCCAATATTTCCAAGCACGTAAGTGCCCCTTCATAACCATATAAACCATAATTCCATAATCAACCTCCACTTGAATTCGGTACCCTTGCAAATCATATTTTTCAACAAGACATATACCATCTTTCAATGCCCTTAGTTCTGCCTCCATATTAGAACAGTTTTCATAAAAAAAAGACCCTGCAACCACCAAATCACCCCATTGGTTTCGAATCACAGCACCACCACCAGCACGTCCCGGATTCCCTTTCGAGGCTCCATCCACATTTAATTTCAAACACCCCTCCATTGGACAGGACCAATTAACCCACACTGCTTTTATTTGAATTTTACCACGACTTGTAACCCCCAATTCCTGCAAAATTTTCTCCCCATCTATACTGTTAAGAACTCTGGGCCGAATACCAAAGGCTTGTAGCCTAATGACAGTACAAGTTTTCTGAAAAATAGGAAAGGCAGATAAACAGCCCTCCCCATAAACCCTTCTACATCTCTCCCTCCATAATAACCAGAAAACAACCAAAGCCACACTCCTAACTAGGATATGACTAAGGGACTGTTTTCTAAAAATTCTTATTAATCTCATTAATCTTCCCATAGGACCTTCATTCTCAATCAAAATAAACCCAAAAAAACTAGCCAAGTATTGCCATACCTTTGCAGCAAAGTCACGGCGAACAAACACATGAGCTCCGGATTACATTGCTTTATAACATAGCGAACATCTACTCACTAATTTCACCCCCAACTTCTGAAATCGAACATCCAAAGCCACTGCACCTTTGCTAATTTTCTAGCAAAACAACTTAGCACTAGGTGGAGCAGCCTGATCCCATATCGCTTTAGCCACCACATCTTCATTCCCAACATGCCTTACCACTTGCCAAGCTAATTTGACCAAAAATTGCCCAGAATCATTCAATTTCCAAACCAGTAAATCAGTCCTATCAGACAAAACAATTCTCAAATTTAGGATCTCATCTTTCATACCATCATCCACTAGACCACCCAACTTCTACCACTGCCAAACTCTTTTTGTATAAACTTCTACAACTCGTGGAAAAGTTTGAGGCATAACACCAAGTTTGTCCAACAACGGCCCAGCGTTAAGCCAATTAGAACACCAAAAATTCACTAGCTCCCCATTTCCAACAATGAAACGAGAATGAGAAACCACAGACGAAAACCATGGTTTCAACATTCGAAAAACCTTGGCTTTCCATTGCCCCGAATGCCTCAACACATGTTGATTTTTCAAAAATCTTGCAGAGAAAACCTTAGCCCACAGAGACTTCCCTTGCAAAATACTCCAAACCTGCTTCATACAGAAAGCAGCTTGAACATCCTCAAATTTCCTAATTCTCAAGCCCCCTTCCTGCTTTGTCCTTGTTATATCTTCCCAAGAAACCAAATGTCTCTTCCTAACTCCCTCCTTACCAGACCAGACAAACGAGGCCATCAAAGAATTAATCCTAGTTAAAATACCTTTAGGTAGATTTAAGCAAGACAGTAGATGCACTGGTACTGCATTTAAGACTGTCTGCACCAAAACTACTCTTCCCATATTGGACAGCAATTTTGCATACCAGTCTTCAAGCTTAGCTTTAAATTTAAGAAAAAGGTCTTCAAAATCCCTAATTATGTTTCTTCCCTTAATCATAGGACAACCTAAGCACATAAAAGGACATTCTTTTATAGGAATCTGAGCAACTCTCGATAAAATCACTTTTCTTGCCTGAGAAATCTTTGCAGAACAATACATAGAACTTTTCGGTCTGCTAATCCTCTGCCCAGAACATTCTTCATACTTGCTCAAAAAAGAAAACAAAATCTCCATCGAAGTTTTATTTCCTTTCAAGAACAACAACGTATCATCAGTGAAGAGAAAATGAGAGACCATTAAAGCCCCTCTCCCAGTATGAAAAGACTTAATCTTCCTCTCAATAAACAACTTCGACAGGCCCCTACTTAAGACCTCCTTTGCCAAAATAAAAAGCGACGGGGATATTGGATCCCCTTGCCTCAACCCCCGTGATGTGGGAAAAAAACCTTTTCTCTAACCATTTAAACACACTGATATGAATTGATTACTCAAACAATTTCCAATAATGGACACAAAGAGATCAGAAAAACCAAAACACCTCAAAGTCTTTTTCAGAAAATCCCACTCAATACGATCATACGCCTTCATCATGTCAAGCTTAACTATTACATTCCCTGCCTCCACTTTTTTGTCCAGTTCAGAGACAATGTACTGAGCCAGTGAAATACATTCCCCTATACTTCGCCCTTTCACAAAACCATGTTGAGCATCTGATACCAAATAAGGCAAAAGAACAGCTAGCCTATTAGCAAGCAACTTTGTAAAGATCTTATACAAAAAGTTGCATAAACTAATAGGCCTAAACTCTGCAAAGCTTGTTGGATTTAATTTCTTTGGAATCAATGCCAATAAAGTGGCATTCACTGACCTCGGCACTACTTTGCTTTCTAGAAAAAAATTTGCAGCCTTTAACAAATTTGCCTTAATCACCTCCCAAGCAACCTGAAAAAACTTCCCAGAGAACCCATCTACTCCTGGTGCACTTTCCACCGACATTGAAAACACCATATCCTTCAATTCTTCCATGGAAGCAAGACAAGTAAGCGATTCATTATCTGTATCACTTACAAGATTCAGAATTACCTCAAACAATACATCATCCAGGACATGATCCTCAGATTTATATAAGGACGCAAAGAAGGACACTGCTTGATCAGCAATTTCATCCTCAGAGCAAACCCAAACCCCATCCTCACTTTTAATTCTTTTAATTATGTTCTTGACAGCCTTCCCTTTTGTTATAGCATGATAAAGCTTTGTATTCCGTTCCCCTTCTAAAGCCCACTTTACATTTGCTTTTTGCCTCCAAAACATCTTCTAGCCGCAAAGTATCATCCAAACTCTTTCTTGCATTCTCCAGTGTAAAAAAATTGTCCTCTGAATAGTCAGATTCTAGTGTTCTTTCAGCATTACACACTTCCAACTCCTGCAACTTAATTTTTTCAAACATGTTCCCAAAAACTTCTTTATTCCACCCTCTCAATCGAACTTTAAGAAATTTTAGCTTTAAAAAGAAATCCTCAATAGGATTACTAGAAAAACAACCACGCCACGCATCCACAACCAAAGGCAAAAAAGAGGCCTCCTCAGTCCACATATCCAAAATTTTAAAATAAGAAATTCTATTTTGCCCTTCTTTTTCCATGATCTTTACCAACAGAGGACAATGGTCTGCACTTCCTCTCGCAAAATGTACCACCTGAGAGTTATCAAACCTAGCAGTCCAAATAGGATTTAAAAAAACCCTATCTAAACGCTGCCACATTCTTGTTCCCCCGTGATGATTATTACACCAACTGTAGCTACTTCCCTCAAAAACACAATCCACCAGCCCAGCCAAGTGTATACAATCACCAAATTCCTCCATCGCAACAACAGAGGGATAAGCACCCCCCAATCTCTCCGCAGAACACAACACCGTGTTAAAGTCTCCCATTAGTAACCAAGGCAAAGGAAAGGAAGAAGAAATTACTTGTATATGTTGCCATAAAGGCCTCCTTAACAAGTAATCGCAACACGCATACACAACTGTCACAAGAATTGGATCTGAATCCAAAAAACTAACAGAAACAATAAGAGCCTGCTCATGCTCCAAAATCACCTTTACATCCACACCCTCCTTCCAAAACAACCATATATTCTTCTCAGCTTGAGTATTTGCAACAAAGAAACTCAAACCCACTGAGACAGAAAAAGATCTCATCCTTACTGACAAAATTTTTGGTTCTAGCACAACCAAAAGACAAACATTATTCATCACCACAAGCTTTTTTAATCTGGTTCTCATACTTTCATTTCCTGCCCCTCTCACATTCTACATTATAAAGTTCATAACGAGGACATATGTTCGGGATTAACCTCAGGACTCTGCCTTACTTCCAAACCATGGATCTCATCATCATCAGAAAATCTTTCCGATAAATCCGCCCAAGTCTTCGAACTATCTTGGTCAGATAAAAAACCTTTTTTCAAGCAGCTCATTTCCCCTTACCAAACCATCGTTATCATCCTGAGTTACATTCATCAAGTGTTTAACATCATACTGTCTATCCACAAAAAAAAAAAAAGAAGAATCTGAGGATAGAGATACTTGTTTATTTAAACAACACACAATCTCATCTATTCCCCTCCCTGTCTCCTTATCTCTCATCTTCCCCCTTTTTCCTCCCTCATTTTCGATAAAAGAAGAAGACTTCTCAGTAACATGAAAAGAAGCTTCTCTGCCAATTAACAAAACACAATCATCTCTACTCTCCTCTCCCATCAACGTAACTGATACCCCTCTTTCTTTCCCCTGACTTTCTGGTAAATCTGGTTCTCTAATCTCCTCACAAGAAACAGTCTCTTGCACACCCCTCACAGCTAAAGAGGCATTTACAGCATCTTCCCCTTATTTGACATTCTCATCTGCAATTCAGAACCCTGATCAACTTCAAGAGCAACATGCAATTCTGCAATCTGATTATTCATTTTATCCACCCCTTCAATTTCCACATTTTCTCTACCAGAAACATTAGGAATCTCCTATTCTGCTTCATGCGAACAGCTTTTTTCCCCCATTCGTACAGTTGGCTCATTCAAATTTTCTCCACTTTCCACAGCATGACTCTGTTCATCAAGAACCAAAGCACTAAATCTATTCCCAATCCCCGACTTATGAACAACCTCCTTTCTTTTAAAAACTTGTCTCTGATTTCCTCCTTGCATATTCTGTACAACTCATTTCCCCTTATCAGCAATATTAACCACCACATGATTCACTCCACTCTGAACATTAACCTCTTTCTGCAGATTTACCTCAACATTCTGAACATTTCCATTCTCCTCATCCCCTTTCTCAATTCTCTTCTTCCTACAAGCATTTCCATCGTGTCCTTGTTTTAAACAAGCAGCACAATACCTACAATCCTTCTCATATACTATTCTTTGCCATCTACCACTGTTCCCCCCATGTCAAGCCCAAATCTTCTAGGATTAGACACTAACAAGTTAACTTCAACGCACACCCTCGCCACCCCTGGCTTGGTCAGTTGCAAAGTCGAATTATCAATCACCAATATTTTCCCAATTGGACTCAAAATATCTCGAAGACTCTCTCTATTGAAGAGATGAAGAGGAAGCCCAGACAGCGATATCCACATTGGAACAATTGGAGGTTCGATTCTTGGAAGAAATTCTGGGAATCATTTAAAAAATCTGAACAAAAAACCATCTATATATGTAGCGTCTTTCAGCCATGTCTTCACATAATCCTCCAGAAGACTAAAACGAATGAGTATGTGTCTTGGATCTAAAATTCCTATTGAGAATTCACCCTTGGGAAGCCACTTTGTAGCAATAAACTCTCTGATGACCCCTAGTGAAGGCTTACCATATGCGCATTTCCCAATTAGGGTTTGACAGAAGTCCAAGACATTCCCGATTCGCCATTGTTGTAAACAACCCTCTTTGCTGGTTTAGCAACCCCAGCCGAAGTTAACAAACCATTTCCCAGAGATGAGTTACCAGAATCAGCCAAAGGGACATTCGCGATTGAAGACTCTCTAGGAACAGACAGGTGAGAATCTAAAGAGGTTTGGGGAACCATAGAACTCTGAATCATGAAAGGATACTGAATCCCCGATGAATCTTGACCAAGAAAGTTAATTTGAGGAAGAGAAGAAGATCGAGAAATCTGAGGGTTTGAAGATCTGTGAGAATTACCTGGATCTTGAGAATTTTGGGGAAAATGAATCGATTGGGATACCAAAGGCAAGATTGGAGGCATAGAAGACTGATTACCCACACAATTCGTTGAAAACAAAAGGTTGTTTCCAGAATTTTTATCAAAATGAGAAAACCCCATGTTCCCAATGTTTACGAAGTCCGAGGGTTTCTTGAAAAGAGAGGCAAAATTTTTCTTAATATCCGGTGGTTTTGGGGGAATTGGATGCTGGATTGAATCCGATTCCATGTAGAAATAGTCGAATAATGATCAAAATGGGTTGAATTTGACAAAAGAATCAAGAAATTGAATTAAAATCAAAGAAAGTCAAAGAAAAAATTCTAGAGAGAAGTCAGAGCTTCTCTCTCTAGAAATGAATAACTGTCTCTCCCTAAACCCTAAATCCTAAAATCCTAAACCCTAAACCCTAAACCCTAAAACCCAAAACCCCTAAACCCTAAACCCTAAACCCCAACCCCTAAACCCTAAATCCTAAACCCCAAACCCCAAACCCCCCTAAACCCTAAACCCTAAACTAGTCTGGAATATCATGGAGGGTTCTTCTTTGTGGGCTAAAATCTTTTCTACAAAATTCTGAAAGGGGAGGCATATTTTGAGAAGCTTAGTAAGGGGCGTGCAAAGTGTTATAAATCGTTAAGGCCTTTTTTTGAAAAAGTTGTGCTTCAATCAAAAGTCATTATTGGGAATGGAGTTTCTGTAGATTTTTGGTGTGATTGTTGGTTGAATGATGTGCCTTTGTTGAAAAGAATTGAGGGATCTCCTCATTTTTTTCCTAAGATTTCTGAAGTGTCTAGACTCTTAGTGGTGTTTGGTTGAGGTGAAGGAATTTTTGCCTAAACAACTTAGAGGAGAAATTTTGAATTCTTATATTTCTTTGTCTGGTATCTCTGACTAATGCTGGGGTTGTTACTGTTAAATTAGCTTGGCAAGTGATTAGAAAGCAGGGGGTAAGGAATGAGGTTGTTGTTGCCATTTGGGGATTGAACACAGCCCCTAGTGCTATGCTGATTGGTTGGAAAACTCTGTTGGATGTTCTTCCTCTAGATTCTAGGATTCAGAAGTTGGGTATTCCAGTAGTTAGTAAATGGTTGTGTTGCCAAGAGTAATCCTGGCGTTGCTGGTGGGGGTGCTATTATGAGATATGAATTGGGGGGGAGGGGGAAAAGGGGGATGCTCGTAGCCCCCTTTTATTATGGGTTCTGTACTAATATGGTAGCAGAATTCAGGGCTTTACTGGACGGTTTGCTCTTGATTGTAAGATATGGATTGGTTGTTTACACACCGTGACTGTACTACCATTAGACCATGTAAACACTCCATTTGCCAAGGAGGGACCTAATAAAAGAAGTATATCTGAAGTGTTGCAAAAGACTGGGATAGGAAACAAAACAGAGTGTACCAGATTTTTAGCACATACAACCGTCAAACCAGAGACTAAAGCAAGGCTCGACAAAACAAAAAGTATCGTAGTAAATCGTCCTTCCATGAAATGGAGAGCTGGAGCATGAAGTAGCATCCCTAAGCTCGGTTTCCCTATTAAAAGAATCAAAATCTTTCAACACTTTTTGTTGTTCTCCCCCATTCATCCTCTCCTTTGGATACCTTATAACCTTAAAAATCCCCTATACACCATCTATGACCACACACCCCATATAGGCCTAATAATTTTTCCCACAATTGAGACCCTAATGCTAGGCTTTTTAGGGCCATAAATCCCAATAAGCCACCAACCATATCCCTCCCTGTGCTTAACTCTAATTGAAAGAGTAAATTCTCCCTCGAGTTTCTTCCATGCTCATAGATCTCTCGTCCCAAATGATGACAATACCACGTGTACTCCTACAAAAAATAGAAAAACCCAATTCCAGAACCTAGACCACAAACACTACTAATGACTCTCTTATCAATGACCTCCAACTTAGTTTCTTGTAAAATAACTATATCTGTCTTAATTCTTCCCAAAAACACCTTTATTGAAAACCTTTTCGTCCTCGACCCTAATTCTCTAGCATTCCAACTTAACAATCTTCATAACAAACTATAGATCCCTCCCCACCTTTCTTACAACTACCTCCCTAATAATCTATCCCCGACTCTAAATTTTTTAACTCTCCCACTCCCTTTCTCTTCCTCTCATTTCTACATTCATGTTTTTGCTTCCCCCTTTTTTTTTTTGATGGAACTAGAGACAAATCCATTTTATATAAAAAAATTCTTTAACACAACCCATTTTTTCTCATCCAACAGGAAGCATTCATTATATTATCCCTACCTCCTTCATCTATTCTTTTCACCCTTAAGGCTCACTATTGTCTCAGTGGTCACAGCATCAGAGTTCATTAGACCAACATTAATTATGGGACATCTATCATCAATTTTGAATATTGGATCATGGGCAGTAATAAGTGGAACACCTAATAAACCTGAACCAGGTTCACCCAGACGCCGCAAATGTCTATTCTCCCCATGGACCTGAATTAGCTACATCACAGTTTGTGGAATCCAATTATTTCTTATACCCATCCCCACACCCATCCTTCACAGAAGAAAACATCGCCATTTTCTCACTCAATTCCATGTCATCCCAGCAACACCATTAGACCCAGAACCAGTATGGATATTGACACTCCCACCCTTGAAAGAAGAAAATCACCAGAATGAGCACCGACATTGACACACCCATTCCCCAAACAAAGAATATCCCCGGGAGAAACCATCACTATGATTTTTTTGGAAAATATTACCTTCAAAAGTACGAGGATAGTATCATATTACCTTCTTCTTGAACATAAATCAAGTTATCATCAATAAACTTTCTTGCAACATCACCATATACCTCATCAGTTTGTACCTTTCTCCCGTTATCAATATCGTAGCGATATAATGAATCCTTCGAACTCTTCTCCAACTAGGCACTGTCATACCACTCTCGCAGCAACCATAGCATCACAACAATATTTGTAATCAAACCAAATCAAGTCTTATGCCCTAATCATTTGAGATCGGTTATATGAGTCCGTCTTCGCTATTCATTTTGATCATGTGTTATACACTCATTTAAGTTAATTATTTTTCATATATTTATTTATTATTTCGTTCAATGTTAATTTAAGTCTACCCCTACTTCTAGTATTATTAAGAGAAATTCTATCACTTTTTTGAACCGGTGCTTGAGTTACTCCTACGATTTCTCTAATAGGACCGTTTTGTATTCTATCTTTTTTAGTTTTTTCACACATCCACCTTAACATTTTCATTTCCGCTATTCATTTTGTCACTATGTTGTTTCCTAGTTGCCCAACATTCCGTCTCATACTATATTGTTGTCCTTATAGTTGTTCGGTAAAACTTACCCTTCAATTTTATTGGTATCCTTTTATGACCTAATATGCCAGAGGTTGTCCTCCACTTAAGCCAACTAGCATTAATTCTTTGAGTTACAGCATCTCCAATCTCTCTACTATTTTTAATGATTGATCCTAGAATATCTAAATTGTTTACTTATTGGTATTTCTTGATTTTCAATCTTAATTTTTTCACTATGTCTACTTCTTCTATTATTAAAATTGCATTGCATATATTCAGTCTTACTGATACTTATTTTAAATCCTTTCGACTCGAGTGCTCTCTCCAAATTTTTAGCTTATTGTTAATCTCCCTAGTGAGTTAATCTCCCTAGTATATTCATTTGTAAATAACATACGCCGTGGGACATCATGTTGAATATGCCTAGTGAGTTTATCCATAATTTGGACAAATAGGTAATGGACTTGGGGCCGATCCCGAGTGTAATCCAACCGTGATTGACAATTCTTTATTTTCTCTAACAAAAGACCTAATTATAGTCCTAGCCTTGGCATACGTATCCTTTATCATCTCAATTTACCTATTCGTCACTCATTTTCTCTGAAGCACCTTACATATTATCTTTCTAGGCACTTTATCATACGTCTTTTCTAGATCTATAAATAATATATAGAGATTTTTCTTCTTCTCTATATTTTTTATGAGTATTCTCAATAAATCTATAGCTTCCATAGTTGACCTACTCGGCGTAAACTCAAATTGATTTTCTGAAACTGTAGTCTCAACTCTTAGGGGACATTCAATGGACCTTTCCCATAGTTTCATTGTATGACTCATCAATTTTATCTCTCTATAATTATTACAATTTTAAATATCTCCTTTGTTTTTATAGATAGTTACTAAAATACTTTTTCTTCATTCATTTGGTATTTTCTTAGTGCCAATAATTCTATTGAATAATTTCGTTAGCCACGAGACCCCTCATTCCCTAAGCACTTCCAAACTTCAATTGGAATCTCATCCAGTCCTAAAGTCTTGCTCAATTGTATTTTCTTCAATGCAAACTCTATCTCCGAATTCTTTATCTTATGAAAGAACATTTCATGAATCCTTCAATTTTTTATCTCTTCTAAGTTTCTTAAGTGATTTTCATTAATAGTTTCTCAAAATAGTCTTTCTACCGATCATTTATTTCTTCATCTTTAACTAAAGCCTTCGAGTCCTCGCCCTTGATGCACTTAGCTTGGTTAAAGTCTCTTGTTTTCCTTTCTCTAATTTTAGCTAGTTTATAAATGTCTTTTTCTCCCTCTTTACTGTCTAGTTTTTTGTGCAACTCGTCGTAGGCTTTTAACTTAGCGTCTTTAACTATCTTTTTTACCTCCTTGTTAGCTAATTTATATCTTTGGAAGTTCTCGCAGCAATCTTCCTTATCTTCTGAAAACAAATTTATGTCCCTCTCCTCATCCATACTGTTGAAACAGACCTCAAAATCTTCCCTTTGACTCTGCCAACCATCGCAAATCTCCTCTACAGCTATAGTCCCTTTTTCACTACTTCCTTTGCCCATTGTCATGAGAGGCTCCACTCCCCCCCTTGCTCGACGATCAGCTTCAGCAACCTTAACCATCAGTTTCAACTTTGAGGAGAGCCTTTGTTTCATCTATGAAGATAGCCCTTTGCCCGTGTGAGAGAGCCCTATCATTCGAGTTCTGCCCAACAAACAAAGGTTTGTGGACCAGGCCTCCACAATTCTGTAAAACCCTCTTAAATTAAAATGGCCCACCTTACCAAGCCCATTGGTAAAAACATTTGTTTCCAGCCCATTTGTTTCTTTTATCTCAGCCCACACCTTCCTTTCTTAACAAAACCCACCTTTCATGATCCATCTCCTCTACCTTATCCTTAATTAACTCAAATTTTGAATTCAAATTACATTCCTTATTTGAATTATCCTTATCAAATATTTTTTGTTAGAAATCAGCAAGATTAATGGCACTAATCAAGTCATCAGAATTTTTTTCAATCAAACCAAATCTTTGCATTTATTCTGGCCTTGTGGTGCACAGACTCCCTCCTCCTCCTCCTCCTTTCTCTTCTTGACACGTAATCCCCCTTTTGTTTGCAACTCTTTTTTGGCCGATTGATTTTCCAATGTGCTATAACTCTCGTCTTTGACCTTTTGCCCAATACACAAAATCTCCTTACTACCTTCACCTTGTAGTATTCCTTTTTCGTTTCGATTGAACAATCCTGGGTTCTTCAACACCTTAACCTTAGAAAAGATTTCCCATTAATATCCACACGGAAGAATGTTTTGAGAAGACCATTACTGGTTTTATGAACTCTAATTAGAGCTTCAAACAAATTTTTGAGATTTTCTGTTTGCCGATCAACTTCAATAAAAGCCCCACAACAATCCCTGATCTTCTTAAGACTTCAGGTTGCCATAGATGAAATGGTAGACCTTCAACTGCTATCCATCCACCCAAAAGGGTACACGACTTCTAACTGTATTGGTTTCATGACACTAATGTTGAAACTGTACGTCACCACACACTTCAATGCGAAATTTTCCACTCTACATAAATTCTCACAGCTTGTAATCTGTCTTCGTAGAAAAAAAAATGGCTTTGTCTACTTGGAAAAGCTGTAGATCAATCTTCATTTTTAAAGCCTGTACCAAGCATGCCTGGAGTACATCCTAAGAGACAATCGAACTTGCTTGGACACATACCACAACACACCTCAGTTTAACCTCTTCTTTAAGCATATTTTCATCCCCCTTATTATTTGCAGGAGTATTTTCCTTATGCATCTCAACCCATCCCCCATTTCCTTGCTCCCTGACTCTAGATTTTGATACTGCCATCAGACTTTGATTTTCTTTTTCCTGTATCCTTGTATTCCTTCCACCCGAAAGAACATCCTCCATCAATCCTCTAAACCCTTTCCATCCAATGCCTTGGGAGCCTTGGGGAATAATCAAACCCTTTCTTCTACCATTATTCATCATCTGTGTAATCCTGGCAAACTCCCTAAACCTGCTATTTTCCAGTTGCATCCACATACAATATCCATCCCTCCTAAACTTTCTAAAGAAAATATCTCGTCGATTCCAGGATAAAGCTTCAGAAAACATCTCCTTCAACCATCTCACACAACTTCTATTCACTAAGCATGAGAAATATCCAAACTGATTCCATTCCGTTATGCGAACCAGTTCACCATGCAAACCTTCAGATCTGACTTTAAAATGCTTATGATCAATCGTAATCTCCATTGTCTTTCTTTCTTGATTCTCACAATTTCAACAATGTTGGATGTGGATTATAAAGGTTTTCAAAAGGGAAGTAAAGGAAGTACTCTTTGGGGATGTGCTTTCTTTGCAATAATTTGGGGATTTGGTTGGAGAAAATTTCAAGAATCTTTGAAGATAAGTATGAAGAGTTTGATGGGCTTTGGAACCGAATTCACTTTTTAGCAACTATTTTTGTGCTTTGAAAAATTTGCTAATATTCCATTTTTTGAAATCTTGGCAAACTGGAAGGCGGCTTGTGATTGATTAGCTTGTTTTCTTGGTTTGGTTTTTTTCCCTTTTTATGTACTGCTTTCAATGGTTTGTATTTGGGATGGACTACTTACACATCTCTGCTCTTCATTTTTTTTACTTTTAATAAGATGGTGTTTTCTATAAAAATAAAAAGGAGGGGATTTTGCTTTTTGGCTTTTTTGATGCTATAACAAAACTTCTCAAGATTTTCCATAACACAATCAATATTGCTCTAAGCCCCCACCAACTCTAGTTGCAAACACAACAGTCCACCCCCTCAGTCAAACTACGCCAGCCTATTACCTCCCCCTTTCTCGGGGGGTGGGCAACATATCAAACATAGCCTACCCCATGCAACCATTAACCTTAAATTCATCATGTGCATAAACGTATCGGACCTTACCCTCAACGAATAGTTGGGAGCAACATTGCTATAACATCGTAGCAACACACGTCACACACAATTGTGTTCCATTCTGGTTTGTCTCTCTTCCCTGCTATATAATATACCAAGCATGAATAGTCAGAAAGGTTGGAGATATGCGAATATGGGGAGAGAGGCATGAATGAGTGAAAAGTTGAACAGTCGGAAACCTAGAGGTTACATGAGAAGTGGGAGTTATCAGTTAGTTTAAATATAGACTTGTCCTTATCTTGAGAAAAAAGATTAAATGAAGTAAGATTGGAGACCTGTCAACACTACTACATTTAAATAGAATATGGAGATTCATTAATAGAAATCATGTTAATTACCAGAAAAAAAACATTGAATATCAATTTTACTTGCCAAAAGTTTACTTGCTATGTTTTGAAGTTAAATGTATTGTTTTCTTTTGCAGAAACATGTTGGGTATGTGGCAAAATATAGTTGGTAAAATGGCTGCTCTTACTCCAAGCCAAACCAAGGACTGATATTTGGTGGTGAAGAGCATGGTGGAAATCCCAGTGAGGAGAAAATTTTATGTGCGAGCAATTGTTGTCACCCTTGCACTTCTAAGGAGAGAATTTTGAAGGGACTCGACTGACTCGAAATGTGGAACAAGGATTCTATGGAGCTTGTGTTACCTAAGGAAGCTGAAAAGCAAGTCGATGCTTGCACATTAACAGCTTTAGTGAATCTCAAAACTGAGATAAACACACTAAGAAGTGTGCTGATGGACAAGTCAACAGATCTGTTAGACGTGTACGAAGGGATGGCGAAAGTTAGGAAGCAAATTCTGGATATGGAAGCTGAGGAGGATAAAAGCTGAAAATATCTTTGTAGTTTTCTTTTTGAACTACTATAATTTCAGTATAATGCAAACATGCTTAGGAAAATTCTCTCCTTTTGATATTTACTCTTACTTAATTTGACTGCTTTGGAAATTCTCTCTTTTTAATATGTACCTACTTATGACTGCTTAGGAAAATTCTCTCCCTTTGATTTGTATGTACCTACTTTTGACTGCATAGGAAAATTCGCTCCTTTCGATATATGTACAGACTTATGACTGCTTATGTAATTCTCTCTCCCCCCCCCCTTTTTTTTGTGCTAAATTCTGTGTATTCATGAATATCGGGTACATAACGTTATAATTTGGGGTGACATTTTTGGATGATTTGTTGTGAATATGCCCAATTTGGGGTTGTAAGAGATAGGATCATGGAATGCATAGGACAACTTTGATCTTGGTAATTGTGTTTCTATAAAAGAACTACATTATTTATTACAATCCTACTGTAGAGGCGAGTCAGGTGACAAACAAAACCACTTCGACATAGCGACATCGGAGTGAGACATCTGTTTGTCTCTAGCCATTCTCTAACACTGTCAATGTAACGAAAAGTTCAAGGGGGATAAATCAGAAAATAATGCTGGAATTAATCAAAAGCATAACCCCACTCCCCCTCCAAAAAAAAAAAAAGAACTCACCGAACATGTTTTACATATGCCAATTCACTTCAGTGCACACAACTTGCTACAATCCTGACTTGCGTTTAAATTGACTTACACAATTTGGTAATAGTCATGCTCCTCGTTGGAGGTACTTTGATCCGTTATTAATTGTCGAACCACCTGTCTGAGTGGAGTTCTCATGTTGATAATACCTGGATCTTAATTTTTTTGGGTAGGTAGTACATAAACAGTTTAGGAAATTGGATCCAGTTTGTCAATATTTATTGGACACCGTAGGATGAGATAGAAAATATGTTTATGGTATGTCATATTCTTGGTCTTTTAACCAACTACTCTAATGCAATTTACTCTAGTCACTGCATCAGGCTTGTGGTGCTTTTAGATTGGAGAATTTCTAGACATTTCATCACTTCTTGTACGTTTAGATTTGGTCTAGTTTAGAACTTTAAGTGGTTGTATGTGGTTTTGAAATTATTTGTAAAAAGCAAGGAATTTTCCACTTGGAATTCTTCTGGTATATTCTTTTTCCTCTTTTCTTTCTTACAAGTACTCTTGTGGGTTTAAAAACTTTCAGGGCTTGGTATGCTAAGAAGCAGGGCATTGTTAATGTAGATGCTGAAAGAATGAGAGGCAAGAAGATGTAGAAGTTATATATTATCAATAGTCCTTACATTGGCAAGGATAATTGCCTACAACTGAACACAACTAGTTCTTCCAGCTTTCGTAACTACTGTGAATGTGTTTAATGGTTATGGATGATGATATCTTAAACCAAACACAAGTTTGTGAACTTTTTTTTTTATTGGGGTTTAGAAAATATTGTGCAGTTATTTATACCTTCGCACATTGTAATGCTTATGCACACTAGGGTTGCACACACTCGTACCCTCTGAAGCCAATGGGATTCTGACCCTTTCCATGCATTCAAATCCATGTCAGATGAAAACTACCAACTCTCCCTACACATTACTATTTTGAATTATCAGACTCGGGGTGGCATGAGACCACAAATTTTGTGGACCATGCAATTTTTTTCATTTTTTTGTGTTGTGGGTTGGGGTTGCTATTTAAGTTTGTTGTTTGGATGGTGTGCTCGATAATAGGGGCGGTGATGGTTAGTAGGGGCGGACGAGGGAGGGGAAATATTGTCGAAGGGCGACTATAGGGAGGTGAAGAGAACTGAGAGAGAAAAAATGTGAATACTCGTGTACCTAGTCAATATATTATAAAACCTATAGATATTAAGGAAATCATCAAAATTCATGGACGAACTGAGTAAATTACAAAACCTAATTTGAGCGAAAAAGTAAACGTAGCTATGACATTCTTATCCTTCAAAATCAATTACATATTAAACTCAAATTATCACCTTTATGCCAAACCTGCTGGTTCGCAATCTTATTGCCGTTGCAACAATCTCTCTCTCTCTCTCCTCCCCTTTTCATTAGAAAACAATTAGAAACTCCCCCTTTTTTCACCTTCTCCACTCCCATACTCTTTAATGCTCTCTTAGAGGCTCTAAAAATTTCCAATTTTCTATGTACAGTGTAAGACAACCCAATGGACAACTCACTTTCAATACAAGCTTCAGACTCTGTACCTCTCCTGCTACCATTTACGGTTTGACAGACTGTTTTTTTCAGGTACTCTTGATTTCTATGAAAATAGTTATTTGTGTTTGTTTATCATTTTTTGGTTGTACAACACATTCCCACGGTTTATTATACCTTCTTAACTAACAAAATTTGAATTTTGAGTATTAAAGTACAATTAATGATAAATCTTAGGAACTGTTAGCATGATTTATCATAAAACTTTAAGAGCTCTCAATTTCACCCTTAAGGTTTTTTATTTTTGATTTTATTTCAGTAAATGACATAATAAAATAAGAATTTTAGTTGTAAATTCATGTTCTACTATGAATGACTTAGACCCACCCTTGTTTGGTTTTTTAATTTTATTCTAATAGATAGTATAATTGTATACTAATTACGATTTTTAAGAAAAAATAGTTTTTTATTTTTGATTATTATTTTAATAAATAATACAATAAAATATGAAATTTTTGTTATAAAATTTAATATATTTTATATTCTATTTTTGATTGAAATATTTTTGATATAAACTTTAGAGGTCCGAGTATACTTTGCAAACGAATATAATACCAATTGGAGGCGTACAAACCTCCAAAGGTAAGTGATTAAGTGTAACGAACTTCAAAAGGTTCAGATGTAATTTTCTGAAAATTGAATCAAACGGTTAATTGGGAAAACTTGAACGTAAAGTATCAAATTGGTTTCTAAATCTCATAAAGGCGGATAATTAAAACACTAACCAAAAAGGGAACAAAATCAAAACCAAAGATCTCACCAGAGAGACGTTAGAACCAAAGATCTCACCAGAGAGACACAACCAACGACATGTACATAAAGTACGAATCTCCCGCCTACGATCGTCTCTCTGTAAACCCTAAATTCCACCACCACATGAATTCTTCACCTCCGTTTGTTTGATTTCTCCATCCTCTCTCCGAAAAGATTCAGCATTGTAAAGCAATGGAGTCGATGATCGACCTCTGCGATCTGATCGCACAAAATCCTTCGCAATTTGCTGATAAATTGGCTTGGATTTGTGGCCGATGTCCACCAATTGACTCTCTACTGCCACCGCTAGATTTCTTTCTCAATGCCCCAATTTCGACGACATGAGGCCCTAACCGGCAGTCCTAGGTTTTTTTTATGTCGATTCCGTATTCTTTTGCCCAAACTTTTTGGCCACAGTCGTTTGGAGCGATTCAATCGCTTCGTACGATTTCTTGAGTTATGTGAATAAAGCCAGTGAGTTGTCCTCGGATTTTGCCAATGTCAGTGGAGATTTGGGGGAGAATTGTGATGTCGGCGATTAACAATGTCAGTGGAGATTTGGGGGTTTCAAGGGTTTCCTTGAATGTTCTGCTCTGTCTTAGTATTTTCCTCCAATTCTTCCTTCCGGTGCAAACAAATTAGTGTCCACTCTTCTAGATCGATTTGAAATTTCGGTTTCTGGTTCACCGAGGAGCTAGTTTTGATAACACTTGAAGCGTCATCGTCTCAGAGTTCGACACTCAGTGCAAACCATTATCAATCAAATGAGAGAAACAGTCCAGGAAACGAGGTCAGCAATGCCTCTGGTTCTTCCAGCGGTGAGGCTTCAAGGGTTACAGATGAGGGGACCAGTGCATTGTCGTCCAAAGGATATATTTGGTGCTGAATGGGGGCAGCCTTGCGTGGAAGAGCAATGTGGATATATTTGGTGCTGGTGTTGGCTTCAATGATGAAGGAGGAGGCGGTTTCGCAACTTACAAGCGAGTGGTGGCCTCTGTTGAGGAAGTGCCTGTGGAGAGTCTTCAACAACAGGAGATTGCTTTCATGCTGATTGGGCACATATTGGATAAAGTCCAGATTGATCTTAAGCTTTTGTAACAAGTGAGGGCCATCGCAAAGGTGCAACTCCAATCAATGTTGGCTTTCCTAAAGGTAAAATTCATGGGTATCCACCCTTTTGGTTTCAAATTTTATTGATGTCTTGATGAAAAAACTATATAGATGAATGAAAAAGCTGGTTAAAATGTTTGGTTTTGTTGGCAAATAAGGAATCGTGACTGGACGGAACAGGGGGGATTCATAAAAATAGGGTTTGGTCTTTCATAACCAATTGATCGTCATTTAAGGTATATGACTTCTCTGTAGCAAATTACTTCCTTACAATTTTTTGTTCCTTAAAATTTTCATACCATTTAACCATTCTGTCACAAGGTTATATATTTTCTATTGATTGTAGTACATTAAGACAGTGGAGGAGGGACTAACATTAAGACATTAGCCAACTGGTTCAGTTCCTGGGTGATTATGATGACTGCACCCTTGCTCTTGTCTTGGAGCAGTGGAGGTTTGCCCCTCTCTCTCTCTATCGGCTATTGTATACATGGTTTAACATTGACTTATTGCTAGTGTTCTTGTAAACATAGTCTCCCCCCTCCCTTCTCCTCTTTTTTCTTTGCATAAGAATTAAAAATTCCAGTTCATCTTGGAGGACAACAATTTTCCATTATGTTTTTTGTTGTGAAACATATTGTTTCTAAGTTTATGGCTACCATTATGTTGACTTCTGAAGCCTTCCAACTTTACTTTTATATTGTTCTTGATTTCTGTAACTCAGTTTGGGAGTGTTACTAGAAAGTAGAAATTTTAATGCTTAAGAGTTATAAAACCTTAAGTGTTTGAGGTTTTGGGTTAAGGTTTATGGTTACGGGGTTATGGGTTTAGGGGTTAGGGATTTGAGTTTATTTTTCTTTTGCTTCTTTTGTTCCACCCCCTCATCATTCTTCTTCTATTTTTTCCTTTATTTTGTTATGTTTTGGATTTTCATTTTCATGTGCGTAACGAATCTAATATGTGCTTTGATTTCAGTTGTTAGTGTAATAGACGAGATAAGTTTGAAAGCGGAATTTAGGAAGAAAAATATAAGTATATCTATTTGTCCAAATTCGATTAGCTTTTTTTTACATGTAAATTGTGTTTTACACATGACTATTTCTACTTCTTTTTGTGTTTCTTGCTTGTTATAATCATTGTTTCTATTGTTTTCAATCCTAAACACTCTCATTATCCCATTGTTTCTATTGTTTTCAATCCTAAACACTCTCATTATCCCATTGTTTCCTTTTCATTTTTTGTTGTTGTTTTCGTGTTTTACACAACCTATAATTGCATAGCATTTCTTTGATTATATGTGTTTTATTTGCTTTTCTATTAGATTTATGTTTTATTTCATTTTTTATTATCTTTCTATTGAAATTGTTAAATGTAGGAAACAAAATGTAACTACTTGGAGGGGGAGCAAATGGTTAAATCATGGAGGAAAATTAGGAGTTTGTAGCATGTAAAAGATAACAATAAAATATAGAATTCAAATAGGGTGTAGGGCTTTGGAGGCTTGGGGCTTACGGGCTATCAGACTTATGGTCGTTTGGGGTCTTGGGTTAATAATTAGGGTTAAGGATTAGGACTTAGGGAGTAAATATCAGGTATTAAGAATTAGGGATTAGGGCTTACGGATTAGGAATTTGGGATTAATGCTTATGGCTTAGGGAGTAGGGAGTAGGGATTAGAAATTAGGGATTAGGGATAACGGATTAGGGGTTAGGGATTTGAGTTTATTGTCTTTTGCTTCTTTTGCTCCATCTCTTCATCATTCTTATCCTATTTTTTACTTTTATTGTCTTTATTATGTTTTGAATTTTTATTTTTATGTGCGTAACTAATCTAATGTGTACTTTGATTTCAGTTGTTAGCGAAATGGACGACATAAGCTTGAAAGTGGAGTTTAGGAGCGAAAAGATAAGTATATATATTTGTGCAAATTTGATTGACTTTCTTTTACATGTGAAATGTATTTTACACATAACTATTTCTGCATCCTCTTGTGTTTCTTGTTATGATCATTGTTTCTATTATTTTCAATTCTGGACACACTCATTAACCCACTATTTGCTTTTCATTTTACGTTATTATTTTCATGTTTTGCACAACCTATAATTGCATAACATTTCTTTGATTAATTGTGTTTTGTTTGCTTTTCTATTAAATAAATTATGTTTTATTTCTATTTTTTGGGTTGTTGGTTTGTAGTTAGGGGTTAAAGATTAGGGCTAAGGGAGTAGGATTTGGGATTAGGAATTCGGGATTAGAGATTAAGGATTAAGAATTAGGACTTTAGAGATTAGGGATTAGGGATTAGAGATTAGGGATTTGGGTTTATTGTTGTTTAGCTTCTTTTGCTCTACCTCCTCATAATTTTTATCCTATTTTTTACTTTTATTGTCTTTGTTATGTTTTGAATTTTTATTTTTATGTGCGTAACTAATCTAATGTGTACTTTGATTTCAGTTGTTAGCGAAATGGACGACATAAGCTTGAAAGTGGAGTTTAGGAGCGAAAAGATAAGTATATATATTTGTGCAAATTTGATTGACTTTCTTTTACATGTGAAATGTATTTTACACATAACTATTTCTGCATCCTCTTGTTTTTCTTGTTATGATCATTGTTTCTATTATTTTCAATTCTGGACACACTCATTAACCCACTATTTGCTTTTCATTTTACGTTATTATTTTCATGTTTTGCACAACCTATAATTGCATAACATTTCTTTGATTAATTGTGTTTTGTTTGCTTTTCTATTAAATAAATTATGTTTTATTTCTATTTTTTGGGTTGTTGGTTTATAGTTAGGGGTTAAAGATTAGGGCTAAGGGAGTAGGATTTGGGATTAGGAATTCGGGATTAGAGATTAGGAATTAAGAATTAGGACTTTAGAGATTAGGGATTAGGGATTAGGGATTAGGGGTTAGGGATTTGAATTTATTGTTCTTTTGCTCCATCTCCTAACCATTCTTATCCTATTTTTTTATTTTATTGTTTTTGTTATGTTTTGGATTTTCATTTTTATGTGCATAATTAATCTAATTTGGATTTTTTATTTCAGTTGTCAGTGGAATGGACAAGATAAGCTTGAAAACGGAGTTTAAGAGCGAAAAGATAAGTATATCTATTTGTACAAATTTGATTGACTTTCTTTTATATGTGAAATGTGTCTTACAAATGATTATTTCTACATCTTCTTGTATTTATTACTTGTTATGATCATTGTTTCTATTATTTTCAATTCTCAACACTCTCATTATTTCACTATAATTGCATATCATTTCTCTGATTATATGTGGTTTGTTTGTTTTTCTATTAGATTAATTAAGTTTTATTTCGATTTTTTGGCTTGTCGGTTTATAGTTAGGGGTTGAAAATTTGGGCTTTGGGAGTAGGGATTTGAGATTAGAGATTAAGGATTAGGGCTTTAGAAATTAGAGATTAGAGATTAGGGATTTGGGGTTAGGGATTAGGGATTTTGGTTTATTGTTCTTTTGCTTCTTTTGCTCCACCTCCTCATCATTCTTATCCTATTTTTTACTTTTATTGTCTTTGTTATGTTTTGGATTTTTATTTTTATGTGCGTAACTAATCTAATGTGTACTTTGATTTCAGTTGTTAGCGAAATGGACGAGATAAGTTTGAAAGCGGAGTTTAGGAGCGAAAAGATAAGTATATATATTTGTGCAAATTTGATTGGCTTTCTTTTACATGTGAAATGTATTTTACACATAACTATTTTTACATCCTCTTGTGTTTCTTGTTATGATCATTGTTTTTATTATTTTCAATTTCGAACACTCTCATTAACCCACTATTTGCTCTTCATTTTTTGTTATTGTTTTCATATTTTGAACAACCTATAATTGCATGACATTTCTTTGATTATTTGTGCTTTGTTTGCTTTTCTATTAGATAAATTATGTTTTATTTACGTTTTTTTTTGTGGTTGGTTTATAGTTAGGGGTTGAGGATTAGGGCTTAGGGAGTAGGATTTGGGATTAGGGATTCGAGATTAGGCATTAGGAATTAGGACTTTAGAGATTAGGGATTAGGGATTACAGATTAGGGGTTAGGGATTTGAATTTATTGTTCTTTTACTTCTTTTGCTCCACCTCTTCATCATTCTTATCCTTTTTATTTTATTTTATTGTTTTTGTTATGTTTTGGATTTTCATTTTTATGTGTGTAACTAATCTAATTTGGATTTTTTATTTCAGTTGTTAATGGAATGTACGAGATAAGCTTGAAAAGGGAGTTTAGGAGCAACAAGATAAGTATATCTATTTGTGCAAATTTGATTGACTTTCTTTTACATGTGAAATGTGTTTTACAAATGACTATTTCTACATCTTCTTGTGTTTCTTACTTGTTATGATCATTGTTTCTATTATTTTCAATTCACATCACTCTCATTATCTCACTATAATTGGATAGCATTTCTTTGATTATATGTGGTTTGTTTGCTTTTCTATTTGATTAATTATGTTTTATTTCAATTTTTTGGCTTGTCGGTTTGTAGTTAGGGGTTGGAATTTGGGTTTAGGGAGTTGGGACTTGAGATTAGGAATTAAGGATTAGAGATTTAGAAATTAGGGATTAGGGATTGGGGTTTATTGTTCTTTAGCTTCTTTTGCTCCACCTTCTCATCATTCTTATCCTATTTTTTACTTTTATTGTCTTTGTTATGTTTTGAATTTTTATTTTTATGTGCGTAACTAATCTAATGTGTACTTTGATTTCAGTTGTTAGCGAAATGGACGACATAAGCTTGAAAGTGGAGTTTAGGAGCGAAAAGATAAGTATATATATTTGTGCAAATTTGATTGACTTTCTTTTACATGTGAAATGTATTTTACACATAACTATTTCTGCATCCTCTTGTGTTTCTTGTTATGATCATTGTTTCTATTATTTTCAATTCTGGACACACTCATTAACCCACTATTTGCTTTTCATTTTACGTTATTATTTTCATGTTTTGCACAACCTAT